TTTCTTGTGTCCTTAACCAACCACCATTCTGTGGATCTCCATTGAAAATTGTTTGAATTGAATTGTATCTTCATTGAAAGTTGTTATGGGTGTGTTTTGCTCCATTACATGAAAGTGAAATTTCATGTGCTGCATTTCATTTACTACTTAAACATCATTGATAACATTAAATGCATTGTCATTTTTAAAATATTACTTCATTGTGAGGAATGACAGGATTTTAAAACTGTTTCTATAAATCCACTATTCACATTATTTTAGAAATCCGCAACAACTAATATCTATTCAATTGTTTTAATTCTTTCACTTTTTGTGAATGCCTCTTTCACACTCAAGTCTGTTGTTTTCTTTCTATCACTGATAGTTTTTTTTTCATGTTTAGCTTTCTAAAACGTTTAACGTTTCAATCAATCATACCATGCAGAGCTGTGATGGCTCAGGGAATAGAGCGTTCGCCTTCTGGATTTGAATCCCAGCAATGACTGGTTGATACGAATTCCTTGCACTGCCCACAGTGCTGGCGTGAAATATCTATTCAAAGTAGTATACAAATCGTGGGTTAGAGTCCCCTTGTTGTCAGACTAATCGTAGGAGGTTCTCGTGGTCTTTCTCTGCATGTAATGCAAATGCGGGTTAACTCAATCAAAAAGTCCTCAACGAAGACAAATTTCTCTTAATACTTAATCCAGGTGTTCTGTTTTCTTCTGGATTAGGTTAAAAAAAAAACTACAAGGCTGCGGAGTTGAACATTAGTTGTTGTAAACCTAAAAATTGGATAAGCTGTTCAACGACGGTCATGAAATAAAAAAAAACTTTATTCTGAGCTGTGGTGGCTCAGGGGATAAAGCGTTCGCCTTCCAATAAGGTTAACCAGGTTTGAATCCCAACGATGGCTGGTCGATATGAATTCTGCACTCGGCTCGCACCGGCCACAGTGCTTACGGAAAATATCCTCAGTAGTAAATGGAACATGGGTTAGTCCCTCTGCTGTAAGGCTAACCGTGGAAGGTTTTGGTGGTTTTTCTCGCCATGTAAAGCAAATGCGGGATAGTTCCACCAAAAAATCCTCCGCGAATCCATCTTTATTTCCTTTTACAGAGAGGAGTTTTAGAAAATAAATAATAAATTCAATGATCCTCCATGGCTTAAGGCGTAGAGCGTTCGCCTTCCAATGAGCTGACCCACGTTTAAATCCCAGTGGTAGCTGGTTGGTATGAATTTTGCTCCTGGTTCGCATCAACCACAGTTTTTACGTCAAGTATCTACAGTTGCAGATGGATCATGAATTAGAATCTCCTTGCCGTTGTGCTACCTGTTGGTGGTTTTCGTGATTTTCATCTCCTTTTAACTCAAATTCTGGTGAGTTACATAAAAAAAAAAATTCCACGAAAAGCCCTCTCAGAATTTGACTGAGTGTTTAACTTCGGTTATAAAATAAAGTAAAAAAGGATTGGGCTCAAAATTACAAGGCTTCTGGATTGAGTTCAAAATTACAAGACTATGCAATTGAATATGAATTGTCCTAAAACCAAAAATTTGGATTGGCTGTTCAATGACAGTTATAATCATACCATGCAGAGTCATGATGGCTCAGGACATAGAATGTTCGCCTTCCAATAAGGTGAACCGGGTTTGAATCCTGGGGATGGCTTGTAGATACGAATTCTGCATCCGGCTTTCAGTGACCGCGATGCTGACGTGAAATATCTTCAGTGATAGCTGGATCATGGGTTAAAGTCCCCTTGCCATCAAGCTAACCGTGGGAGGTTTTTGTCTCCTTGTAACGCAAATGTAGGTTAGTTCCATCAAAAAGTTCTCCACGAAGACAAAATTTCTTCTAATACTTGATCCAGGAGTTACCTTGTCTTCTGGATTAGGTTCAAAATTACAAGGCTATGGAGTTGAACATTAGAAGTCATAAACCAGAAAAATTGGGTTAGCTGTTAAACGTTGGTTATAAAATAAAATAAAAAATAGTAAAAAATCATGCCATGCAACACTGACCACATTGCTGATGTAAAATGTCCTAGGTGGTAGATGAATCATGGGTTAGAACCCCTATGCCGTGGGGCTAATCGGAGAGAATTTCACAGTTTTCCTCTTCATGTAGCTCAAATACAGCTTAATTCTACTAAAAAGCCCTCCACGAAAGTTAGTTTGTTTCATTACTTGATGCAGGTGTTCCCTGGTCTTCTAGATTGGTTTCAAAATTACAAGACCATGGATTTGAACTTTGATAGTAGTAAACTCAAATTGAATCGGCTGTTCAATACTGGTTATAAAATAAAATATCTTTCCTTGCAAATTAGTTATTTTAAATTTTGCAAGATTAAATCAACATATTAGTTATCAACTTAATTAATCAGTGATGTAAAGAGTTCAAACTTTTCTCCATATAATAACATTCTATAACCACATCAACTTTCTGATCACACCCTATATTATTTAACATATGTATAGTCAAAATTCAGCATCTATTTTTTTTACTGCCTAAGTAAATATAATGTTAGCAAAAGTGTGTGGACACAACCTCAATGTATGAACCTAAAATGATACCTTCAACGTTAAAAAAAAAATTATTCGAAATATTTAAATTAGTTTGAAAACTTTTTTTTTAATTCTAAAATAATTTTTTAAATTCATTTTTAATTTTACCTTATTTAGAGTTTAATTGTGAATTTTTTGTAACTTTTTAAAAGTGTGTATATGTTTAAAAGCAAGAATTGGCAGTAAATGTATAACTTTGGATACTTCTATATGTTCTTCAATTTTGGAGTTCACTCACTACGTCTCAGTAAAAGTAGAGTCACAAATTGTTAAGCATTAATTAATATTTTATTTTCATCTTATTTTACACCGACACGCAACAATATTCTCTGTGTAGTTAACATTTTTATTAGAAATAAGGTGGTTGAAAACAACTCATTGAAAAAGCCGTTTAATTTTATTTTCTAACAAGTTAAAATACAATAAATTACAATCTAATTTTCCAAAGAAATTATACTTGCTGGAGTTCTCAATCTTTTTGGATTGTGGCTATGTTTCCTTTAATCTTCAATATCCTTTTCTAGAAGAAAAAGGGATGACTTTATTCGCTATCTTTAAAAAATGTCATTGTATTCTTATTTTGTTATCCTTGTTTATGTGTAAAATTTCATCAATGTAGAACATAAACTATAGTCCTATTTTTTTTTTAAAAAATATGATTCATTTAAATAGAATTTCAGTTACCTTGATAGTTCTTATTTTTGTTATATTGCATCAACATTTAGTAGCAATATGTAATATTTTATGTATTATTTTAATAATATTTATTACATAAAATTAATGCTTTTAAGATTCAAAATTACCTATTTTTTAAGTATTTTGACATTTATAAAGAAGAAGAAAATATTTATCTTCTATATTTGATAAAATCACCATGGCTAGCAACCATATAACATGACTTACCCAAGTGTGATGACTGATTTTATTTTCTTCCACTTAGTTTCGTGGATCATCCGACTCAGGTTACATTCGAACAATCACCACTCACATTTCATTTCTGAAAAGAATTTGCAGTTCATTG